TTTCCCTATGAAAATAATGTTTTGTCAAACGGTAAAAAAAAATGTGGCGTACTGAACTGGAAAACAAGAGTTAGAGAAAATGTTTTTGAGCGGTCGGAAAAATCTGTTATCAATCAAACGTAAATATCTCATTGCTTCCAAACGACGGTTTTCCAAGTAATTAGGTGGAAAAAATACCTACCTATACAAACAATGTATCCTGATGAGTTGTTGCGTGCGATATATTGTTTGATTTTAGGGTTCAATAACAAAAATGGAGCTTCCGCGTGTGTCTCTATTCTACTACAAAGCTAATTTGTTCCGAAACTCGATCGATTACATGTAAGGTTCGACACAATCGGTGCTCGAATTCTCTCTTATCGGGTTTTTGTTCTACAGTATTTGTCGATTGCTCTACGAGCTTCCCTAACTGTCTCGGTCACTTTGACGTTCCATCAGTTTCGCGCCTGTATACTTCCGGATTTTTATTGTTGCAAAACTATAGAAATAGATATTGTAATTTTAAATATATCAATTGAACAGTTACAACAGTATAAAATTAATTACACAGAGTATGAGTACATCACATTATTGAATTAAAGAATTTGCTACTTTGCGTAAATTATAACGTATGTTAACTTTTTCATAGAATTTTCATGATTGGATCAGTATTTACGAAGATTACCTACACTCAAAAAACGTAAGTGAGAAAATTTACCTCTTTATAATATTGGTAATATGAACCATAGGTGAAAGAAGCGTGTACATATTAAATATGATATTAACGGGTTAATTTTTTACTTTATTAGCAGTACAACATTAATACGTAGAAAATAAATGATATTATTAGTTTTAAATGTTTTTTTTATCAATTAATTGTCAATTTTCTTCTCGCATTTATAGTATAATTAAAAAATAAGTTGGCGTAATGACTCGCTAATGTCAATATATTATTTTCTTCGAGGACATCCCTCGCCCTAAGATTGTAAATATGTAAATAACGCTAACATAAAAGCAAAATTAGCAAAGTTTTCTTGTTAGTTTGAAATATTATCTACTTAACATTTGGTGAAAATGTTTTTACAATAATAACAAAATCTTTGTATAGTTAGTAACTTCTTTTATTTTTTATAGCATATTACCCGTTTTGTCTGGATAGATGAAAATGATATAAATATCAATTCATGTATTCATTTTAAATGAATATATTTTTAAATCTAAGTTTAAAAAATATCTTGACATTTTTCTAACGGCAAGAGTACAGTGTGTCAGTGTACTTGTAAGTACCCAGTAATAGAGCTAGTGTAGTTATTGGTGGAGATTTACCTAAAATCCTTGTCGTCTGTTTACTAACAAATAACAAACTAATATACATACTTCCTAGTACAGAATTCAATATTATACATAATCTGCAAAATAATAGTTATAAGAAGTTTACATCTTACTTATTCGTTTTTACAATCTGCTAGATGATGCAGCATCTTTAACAATTCCTATTGTTGAAAAACATATATATAATATATAAACATATGAATGATAAATAGGTAAATATTAGCTGATCATTGTTATAAAAAAAATGAAAAAAAAAAATTATAAAGATAATAAATATTTTTTATTGCACAATAGAAATGAGACAATATACAAAAATCTTACGCAAACATAATAACACTACCGTACAATAGGCGGCCTTATCGATTGATAGCGATTTCTGCCAGGCAACCTAACAAAGTACAGAAATTTAACTAAAAACAAACATAAGCAGATAGTACAAATTTAAAATAAAGTAATTACGCGGACAAATAGAACAAAAGTTATAAGTACATACAAGTGACAAAACAAATAAATATATAAAGCGTGACAGCAGAGGAAAGAGAGAAGAAGAGAGAAAAAAGAAAAGAGTGGAAGAAAGGAAAGGAAGATTAGTCTTCAGACAGGTATAAAGATTTTAGCAGCGATTTGAAAATGTCTAAAGACTTTGCCTGTCGTATTGACTCGGGTAAGGAGTTCCAGAGTTTGGTCGCCTGTAGTTTAAATGAATTGCTGTAAAATTTATTCAGTTTAAGTGGTGTATACAAACGATAATTATTAGAAGAGCGAAGAGATAGATCATGAGAAGATGAGAGAAATTGAAATCGAGTTTTAAGATAGGAAGGAGTCATGGGGTTGAACAGTATTGAGTACAGAAGAGAGAGCATATGCATATCCCTTCGTCGACGGATGGGAAGCCACTGGAGTTGCTTACGGAATTCGAAAACATGGTCATATTTACGTAAGCCGTATTGAGAGATTTTGGATACATAATCAATTATTATTGGAATTTGGAGTAAGGTCAGGATAACATGCATCAGCATAATCAAGAAGAGGTAAAAGAAGTGAATGCGCTAGTGTAATTTTGGTTGAGGTAAGGAAGAAATTACGCAGTCTCCTAAGGGAACCAGACACAGCAAACATCCTCCGGCTCACCTCTGCTACTTGTTGACGCCAAGACAACGTATTGTCAAGGATGATACCCAGGTCCTTTACAGCATCAGCATAAGGCACACACACCCCATCAAATTTAATTGGGGGTAATTGGTCAGTTTTAATCCTAGAAATATAAAAAGGACTACCGATTATAATACATTGTGTCTTGCAAGGATTTACTTTAAGATCAAAAGAGTTACTCCAATGGACAATTCGATCCAAGTCTGAATTAATAATGCTAATTGCATCAATAAGCTGCTCAAAGCACTTCTGGGAGTAAATTTGGAGATCGTCTACATACAAATGATAGGGAGAAGAAAGGTGTTGAGTGATGGAATTAATAAAAATAGAAAACAATAACGGACAGATCACACCGCCTTGAGGAACACCGGCTGTCGTAGAAGACCACGTAGAAATCGAATTTTCTACATGTATACGTTGCCGACGACGTTCCAAGTAGCTACGAAACCAGTCAATCACCGTTGGAGATATGTTAAGGGAACGCAGAATACCTAAAAGGATGTCAAAATCAACCGTGCCAAAAGCGTTGCTGAAATCCAGTAATGTAAACACAGTAAGCTGCTGCTTTTCCATTCCATGCCGGATATCGTCGGTGATGTTGACCAGAGCAGTAGTGATACTATGCGCAGGACGAAAACCAGATTGAAAGGGGTTAAAAAGATTATGCCTGTAAGGGAAATAGTTTAGCTACTGTTGAATAAGGCGTTCAAACACTTTAGAAAGTACAGGAAGAATGGAGATCGGGCGGAAGTCAGTAACATTAGCAGGCTTAGATTTTTTAGGTAATGGAATAATTTGAGCCTTTTTCCATGCATCAGGAAAAATAGAAGTAGAGATTGAAAAATTAAAAAATTTTGTGATGACAGGAGTGAGGATATCGAGTAATAGAATTATCATATTGCGACTTACGCAGTCTTCACCAATGGTATTCGAAGTTACAGCAAGACTGTTCCTCTTAACATCACAATCGGCGACTTGACTAAAAACAAACGCAGGATGGTCCGGAGTAGGTAAAGAAGAAAGATGTTGTAGGGTTTGGTTTTTAATATTGTTATTCATCGCAGACGAAGTAGAAAAATGCTTATTTAAAGTTTCGAAATCAAAATCTGGAGGAGAAACAGAAACAGAATTGTTGCGAGAATTACCTACTCCTAATGATCTTAGGAACCTCCAAATTTTGGAAGAATATCCGTTTTCAACTGATTTATGTATATGGCGTCTTTGTGCATCCCTACACATTGTATTGCAGCGATTTCTGATAGCATGGTAGTTAAACTGATTTTGGTCTGTAGGTCTTAATTTATATTTTGCTTTAGCCCGCAACCAGGGGCCGGAAGATGCCTGACTTTTACGGGACGAACAGGAGCATGAATGTCATAGAGGTGTAACAAACAATCGGTGGATAAATTAACCTGTTCATTGGTGGTCGGAGCATTATCAATCGCGAGCCAATCAGTCTTAAGAGCATCAGTTCGGAGGCGATCAATGTTCATACTGCCAAAATTACGAAGCATAAGGGTTTTAGGTTTAGCTTTTGGAGGACGAATTTTATAAGATAGATACAGATGATCATGAAGAAAAAGCGTCTGCGGAAATCTGGCCATATTTAGCAACATGATCCAGGGAAGAAACAATCATCAAGTCTAAAAGCGAAGGAGCACAGTTGGGAAAATTATGAGTGGCATCTAAGGGTAAGATATTCATATTACTGGTATCAACCAATGTTTTAAGCTTTATGGAACGGAAGTCATGTTTGAGGAGGCAGGTGTTGACATCACCCATGATGATTGAGTGCTCATAAGAGGGAGAAAAATCCTCTAGGAGTTTCTCAAAAGACGAAAAATAATTAATCTTCAAAGATGGACTGTAGAAAACTCCAAGAAGCATCTTAGTGTGTGAAATTGTAATTTCAATAAAAAGATGTTCCGCTGTATCAGGCGGGGGAAGCTGAGCAGATCGACTAATGAAAAAAATAATTTAATGCCTACTTGAATTTTGATATACAGGTTGTTATTTTTTATTAATTCTGTATTATTTTACGCAGCTACACAGTTTGTAAAAGATATGAAAACTACCTGTTGATACGGGTTGTTTTAAAGGATTATGTGAAATAATTTCTCTTTAGATGATGTATATTGTAGGTGTATGCAAAATTATGTCTTAATTGAAAAAACTTTGACGGCGGTTTTCAGAATACAAAAAATGTTAAATTTTGATATCGCAGCAATCGTATTTCTTACCAAAGTACAAAACAAGATTACGAAAGTTTTGTTAAATTTACGATTTCGGAAGTCCGCACGCAAGAAAATACGGTAAAAAAATAACAATCTTTATGATCTTAGATACTGAAAGTGGTTTTATCGGTTTATCTTACCCCTTGGAACAATTAATCTATAAAACAAAGAATATCAGTACCATCTTTTTGATTTTCTTCATAGGTACTACTATATAAACAATATTAAAATCTTAACAGCAATGGAACATAATACCTTACCATCGTAGCAAATTATTTACAGAAATCAAAAGAAAATTCTTACCTGTCGCAGATCCATTGTTAATGAGTTTACCAGCAAATTGTTGATTTGAGGTGGGTAATTGGGGACTTTCTGAACTTCTTCTGACTTCTGTTTGGGGGGAAGTTTTCATAAACGGTGATGGGGAGGTTGGAAGTGATAAAGGTGATGACAGTTTGAGGGGCGATGTAGGAGTGCCAAGATTTGAAGGCAATGACAATTTGGACTCTGATGATATGAACGAATTCGTTTTCAGAAGTAAATTGTCTTCGTCCGGCGGCTCTGGAGTACAAAGAACTGTAGGTAAGGTAATTGGAAATGGACTGCCCCTAGTCGAATTCACCTGTTCGTCTCCTGAATCTGCCATGGTTTATTCTGAAAAAAAAGAAAATCCCAAATCACCATCCTATGAATGTACTTCGCGATGAATGTTGAAATTACATCGCGAGCTACATTCTGATTTCATTTATAGTTTTTAATTGTTGCAGGTTATACATAAAAGTAACTATATTTATTATACGTTCTTCATATAATATAATTAATCTTAATTATAGCCTATATAAGTTTCAATTTATAGGGTAGAAACATTCATGATACAGAATGTCAACACTTGCTAAAAGTAAACTATTTTTCTTTAGAAAACCGGACGATCGCCATCGCCAGTCTGAACCAAAGTCCCACGCGTCACGTCATCCGACCACTCGTCGCCATTATGAGAGCGAGAAGTACAGTGGAAATATTACCTATCCCACCAACTCGATGGACGGATTATTCTTTGGCCATTCATATCATACAGTGGGCTGCAGTCAACGGTGTTATATCGGTGTAGTAAAGGCGTCGGCCGCAAGTTTGTTTATGTTCAATGTAACAGTGTTTTTGGTGATTCATAAAATATCGATCGTTCAGTGTAGTGTAGTATCCAAGCAGTCGCTTTGGTTTTGAAAACATGTCTTCAACAGAATTTAAGATTAAGAACTCGCCGATTAAACTAAAAGTGGGTGTGCTTCATATGGTCAGACTGGTATTAGCAAGAATAGCAAGGTTCTTCTTTAGTTTATATTACGGCACAGAGGGTGTTAAAATTCGATTTCTGATGACATACTGAAGCAGCCAGCTATCGAAGTTGCACGAAGAATTAGGAATAAAGAGGTAACTTTTGAAATAATTGGTATTATTTTGATATATGCTAAAAATATTCTAAGTAATTTTGCCTTTACAATATGGGGTAGTTGTTTTATTGTTATTTACTTATAATAATAAAACAAGTTGTTCGTCAGTTTGATTTCTAACATACAAACATATTTAAGAAATGCAACTTTAAAAAAGGTTTTACCTAGGTATGCGCAACTACAGTCTGATAAGCAAATGAAGACAAGTATCTACTTACCTAGCTAATAATTTGTTATCAACAAAAACCGCTATGATATACTCTGAATATGTGTAATATGACTCAATATAGAATAAAGAAGTAATTTTTACAATCTTTCTTCACTGAAATCAATTTAAAAATAAAGTTTTAGATATATGGAGATTATGGTTTCCCATAATAAAGATGTACGTAAAAATTTATATTTATATTCTATGTACGTAACATTTAAATTAGTTGCCATGATAATCAATTAAATCTGTAATTGTTTTTAAGTCGGTAAACTCATTTAACGCAAATTACTGAACGCACCATGCGTAACGTCGTCGTTATCTGGTAATAGAGTGTATAATTCTTGCGCTATTTTAAGATAAGAGGCCACGCGTTTTGATTATATTGATAAAATACTGGGGTATACAATTAAAAAGATCCACCTTTACTAGTTTGAAACTAAAATGATTTTACTATTTTTGCTTTAATGCTGCAAAGTTTGTGATTAACATCACAGTTTATAAATGTTTTGCAAGCAAAAACTTTTTAGCCTACTACGAATGCAAAATTATTACAGGATTACAGGACATATAGTATAGAACAACGTAGTCGTATGCCACAACAGCTTTTTTTTTAATATGATCTGTGGCATACGATTACGGTGTCCTTTGGTCATCGCTATTATAATATAGCTATCGCTATAATATGAATTTATTGTATTAAACGTTTTAAAGCGTGATTTATTAAAGCTGTAGTAGGGTTTTAATTTTTCAACTTATTTTTTATTTACTTACATATAGTTATGCTTTTATTATTGGTTCTTGGAAGAGATTGCTACGAAGTAATAAGCCCGTTCTTTGTATTACCATATTCTTATCTAGCTTCTCTGCAATATCTCCTGTGTAGTGTGCAATATAGAATGTATTATTAAAGATATTAGTTATTTGATGTCCTGTTTTACTCTAAACAAACACTTGACTAGGAAAAAATATTAAAGGGAGAATTCCCGTAAAATTACGTGCTTTTAATTGATTGTTGTAACAAATTGGGATTTCGGAACGTTTCTACTTGTTAGATAATGTCATTCGTTTTCCGATAAGATTTTGGCCCAAAAAACCATCTTTGAATACCTAGTACCTAATTTAAAAGAACAACTGAAAGTAATTTTCTAATTTATAAGTACCTACCTAACTTTCGCAGCAGCTTTTCCCGCGTGGTCCTTAGGGAAATGTTAGTGGGATAAACAGTTGTCCTATTATCTAAGTCAGCTAATACTAAATTTCATCAAAATCCGTTCAGTTGTTTCGGCGTGATTAACGGATAAACATCCAAACAAATAAACTTTCACATTTATAATATTAATAGGATATGTAAAATAATTTATAAAAGGTAAAGAGTTCCTTAACACTTATTTATATTTTAAATATTATCAGCAGACTTATAAAACGATGTCAATTAGACTTACACTAATTTTAGGATACATATATACTATATAGGTATATATAGGTTATAGGATACACCAGGTGCGGATTTGCAGTCCTATGCCATGTACTTGACTTATTTTCTTATTTTACTGATATATTTTCTTGACAACGTTTAGTTTTGTAGTATTCAAATACATAAAAGAAATGTTTTATTTCGTGATCAAGTAATACCTAACATTTGTTGGTAAGTCCGTGTAGAATAGATCTGCTTAGTCTGCCCATGAGTAATAAATAACGGTCGTTATTCCATTAAAAATACTTTATAATGTGCATAAGTGAAATAAGAGTTGTTTTATTCGTGTTATATTTTATGCAATGATTTAAGCTTGTTTTGGATAAACAAGAAAAGAGACAATTACCAGTATCCGGTATTTTATAATTTGACACACCATATTTTATGCCATTATTGACCGCCCCTAATATTTGGCCGCCTTAGACCCGGACCTACTGTGTTTACGACAGTCAAGTCCGCTCCTGTATTTACGACAGTCTATTAGAACTTCCAAGTGCGTGTGAGTTTCGTGAGTGTATTTTTGTTTGTTTGATTATTAAACTTTCATTAGCACAAGATTTATTAAAATACATTGAGTAATTTTAAGAAGTATCTACGCCATTAAATATCAACTGTCTTTAAAAATCGACAAATAAAAAATAGAACTAGCTTAATAAAATTTCAAAATGATTCAAAAACTCCCATTAAAGTCGGATGTTTAATATATATAACCGACATAAAACCCCCACCCGTCTTCAATATGAGTTTCTTGAAATAATACTTAATTTTATGAGGGTGTTTTAAAGTCAGTTTTTTTATTATTTATTTAATGTAATGTTTATTATGTTCTGTGTGAGTAATATAATATTCTGTACAGGTATAACTACTAAGTAGGTACATTAACAACGATTCAAAAGTAATGCAAATATCAACGATGAGACAAAGATCGTTAGTCAAAGAAATACGCTAATTGTCAGGTTGAATAATAACATAAATATCAAACTCCACGAACGAACACACAACAAACAAACCAAACCACTATCATTCCACCATCATCACCATAGACCATTTATAGATGAAAACAATCATGTCAAAATGAAATCAACTAATACATTATTTAGAACAAAATAATCGATACGTAAACCATTCATCGGATCAACTGGAGACCTGGCAATGATGTTCTTAAATCGGTTGTGGTATTTTAGCTTTCAGTTTTTCTTGTTTCTCAAGTATTCGATACGTTATTTGAACGAATAAAATAAATATTTATGAAAGTATTGAAAGACCGTATTTCATATAATATAATATAATTATTAAGATTTTATATTGAATATAAGTATATTTGACGTTCATTCGATCAGTCTATACGCATCACTACATCACATATCTCACTTATTATTAGCAGTAAATGACGACTGATAATATTCTATAGAACATGTTTGAAAAAATTGAGAATCGCTTCTGATATCGTTGCTGTATGTGATCGATTTTTCAAAAACCATCCAAACTACAACTCTCTGACATATTGTATGGTTTTCAATTAAAGGCAACGGAATCTATTCTATACAATCTCATTTTGAACTTATATTCAATTATTAAGTGTATAAATGGTACTTTTAAGGCAATATAATTATTTGCAATGTACAGGTAACGATAAAATCTATTAAAATAGATGACCTTTTTATTGCCCGGCGCAAAATTCATGAAACACTTCCAAAATATAATTAAAGTACTTTTGTGTAGACCAGAACGTTTCTTATGAAGATTTTCACGTTTTGTTTTTGCACTATCATCACACGTTTCGTTATCTTGATACTTATTAGCAGCATTTAATATTTTAGTTTGTTTGATGTATCAGGAAGTTGTTGTAAATATATATTGAATAGAAACTCAGTTGACTTTAATTAATCCTTGTATTTCACTAGCAGCCATGACAATTCCTTTTTCTATATTAGCCGTAGAATAATCATTGGAGAACAGTGTTGCCACTAATACGTATTAATTTGGTTACCCGACATTAAAATTCATAATATTGTAGAAATAAAGTCTATCAATCACATATTATTTATTTTTCATATTGTACATGTACGGTTTTGAAAGTTATGGGGTCTGATTTCGCCATTCTTCGCCTTTTATTGCTTGTAGTCACTGATTTAGTCTTTGTTAGAACGTTTGATAACTCTACTATAAGCTATTATAATTTTGTAGCTTCTCAAATAATATATTTTATATATATATATATATATACCAACGGTACCTAATCATAATTATAACACATTTCAGTATAAGTAAATCTAGAAAAAAATAGCCTCGATAAGTATTAGTTGGCAACACAATTTTTTTATGGGGCCCGGCACCGGCAGTGGTTTGTGACAAGCGGTGTGCGATTTTATTTATCAGGGTTCCGTACAAACCGGAAAAAGGTGACTCTTATAGGACCACTCGGTTGTCTGTCTTTCCATCTTTTGTCGCATACAGTTAATATCCTACGAAACTATTAGCTAATATTATAATGTGATTCGATGATCAATAAACGGACGTATAACATCTTATATGTATATATAAAAATTTTGTGTCACGATGTATGTTGCCAATAAACTCCAAAACTACTGAAACGATTTCTATCAATTTTTTTATAATTCAGTGACAATGGTTTAAAATAATTTTTATACGAATTTTCAGAAATCACGCTTACTGCCGATCCGATGTCGATTTCAAACTCCAAAACTAGCCCCCCAATCACAACACTCTCTGTCATAGGTCTCCCTTTGACGCATCAAATATTGTAAAAACTCACCATCGTCCCTCTCGTCCACGTACTTCACCCTACCCTCAAAAGTACACATTCTACGGAGATGACCCTTTTTATTGCACTTTTTGCATTTATAATTTTTATAACGACACTGATTGAACTTATAATTGGCATAACCGCACACACTGCACTTTTCTTGTTTGGAGATGCTGAACACGGCGTCCGAGTTGGATGTACGAAGCCAGGCGCGCATTACGCACATTCTCTGCTAGCTCGATGGCTTTCGCCAGTGTCAGCTCCCGCTGATCCTGTGCGAATTGTTTATCGCGCTCGTGCCCTGCCGTCATGCCCATGATAAATCTAGCTAAAAGGGCCTCTTCCAAATTCTTAAGCCCACAATGTGCCGCCAATCCTCTAATCCTCGCTGCCTATTGAGTGTGACTTTCTCCTGGCCGTTGACTTGCTGAATAAAAAATAGATTTTTCAGCAAACACGAATGTTCTGCTGCTTTTATAATTATTTAGGAATCACAATGAAATTAAGTCAAATCTTAATATAAGTATGTCTACTCAGTTTTACTGTTGAATTGTTTGAATATCTTATGCCTCACCAACAGCCTCTTCTAGACGGTCCGTAACATAGGAAGATAGAAATTGGTCGTCTGTGAAAATGTTGTCATTGAAAAGGCAAATGCCAGTTATTTCAATACTTTTGGTGTTATCGTTATAAATTTAGTTTATAAGATTGATTGATCTCTAACTTTTGCCATTAGGTACCTATAACTTTATGGTTTTTATAATTACGTAGTAATTTAGTACGGAATTTTTTATAATAACGTTTTGTCAAAAAAACTGATTAAAATTTTTATAACAAGTCGTTGTAGGAAAAGAAAAGGCGTACTCGGACAACTATAATGTTTTAAATCAATACCCAATGTTAACAACATACTCAGTTGCTTTCAATAGTATCATCATCTTTATTAAGACTGGGTCAATTTTCTTTTCACAGATAACGAGCGTGGAAGTGCTACAGATATGTATAAAGCGCATAAAAGATGTGAACTCTGCCCTTAATTGTTTCGTCGAGGACCGCTTTGAATTGGCTCTCAAAGAAGCGCATGAGGCAGACGAGCTCATTCGAAACGGCACCAAGACGTCAGAACAACTAAAAAAAGAGAAGCCCTTCTTGGGTGTTCCTTTCACGACTAAAGATTGCTTAGCTGTGAAAGGTAAGATAATCTTCGTGCTTATAAACTAAAAACCATCATTGCAAGATTTACGGTCTTGAACTTGTATGACAAATAAATATTGTAGTTAATCTAAAACTTTATTTAATTACCTAAAATTATGTTAAATAATAATAAATAACGATAGGATGTCTTGCAATATACAGAGCCTAGCTTTTCATTTCTTTTTATACTTAAGCCTAAGTTACCACAAGAATATTTGGTCCTAGTACCTAACCAAAAAAACCTGGGCGAATTTAGCTAGTGTTAATCAAACAAGTCATATATTTTTTAAATATTTTGAACCGAGTTTTGTTAGTTCTTTAAGAGGGTTCGTAAACTAAAAATCACCAACTTTCAATTGGTCTTGTACAAAGAAATTACGTCTAGTTAAATTGTAAATTTGGATGGATCGATGCAGGCAGCGTTAGATTGATCGTATTGGAGATCTATGGGGAGGCCTATGCTCAGCAATGGGTGTCGTATGGCTGATAATTTTTCCCATAGGCAAAACGTTAATTAATTTTTTTTCGATAGAAATTATTAACAGTACTATTAATAAACAAGGTTTAGGATTACAGAAAATTTACGCTAAAATTGCAATTTCAGTATTAGTCCAAGTTCATATTATACAGAGAATAAGCAAACCTGCTTACTTCTAGGAATAAATATTATATCCGTAGAACCTCGTTATTAAGCTATAAGCTTTGCTAGTCACTGTCTAATAATACGAATTTTAAGTATAAAATTCACCATTTTTGTTCTATTTCCTTCATTCATCATCTCGGCCTTTGAGGTATACGTCTTCGGACGTAGGCCTCCCCCATATCCTTCCATCCATCCGTTTCTTGCTACTTGGACCGGTTACCCGTGTTATATCGTCAACCCATCTCATGCGGGGCACATTTCTTTCATTTTAGCCTTATAAATGAAAATGAAAATTTAATGTGACACAATTTTTTATAGTAAATATATGTGCAATACACAATCTTCTGTTCTGATCTATTAGTTTGATTATAATAGTCTTATTTTCTTTTTACGCCCAGCCTTAAAGGTTGCTATAAAAATATGTGATTTGTTTCCAGGACTACATAATACTGCGGGAGTGATGTTAAGAAAAGATGTAGTAGCCGATCAAGATGCTGACGTCATCAGATTGCTGCAAGAAAAGGGCGCCATAATAATCGGACTCACCAACGTCTCTGAACTTTGCATGTGGTGAGCTCATGTCGTTGTCTTTATCACGAATGCATTGAATCGATAATGAAAGTTGACGTAATACGATTTTTAAGAAATTAATTTTAAGAAATTAGGTATGCGATATCTTCAATTAATTACTATAAAACAGAAACACCATGAAATGTTAGGTAGGTAATTGGTATCTACTTACTACATGATTCATGAGCAGCAGTGGATATGTAAAACCGACAGCACGTCAGATTACCTACCACATGTCAAATTTCCGGAATTGATTTTGTAATCTAATAAGATTTAAAGTCAAATGAGGAAATTTTATAGTTTTGTATAATCTGATATGCTGTTGACTGTTCTTAAGTAATTCATTCATATTCCAGGTGGGAATCCCATAATCATATCCATGGCAGATCTAACAATCCGTACAATACGACAAGAATTGTCGGTGGTTCATCGGGAGGAGAAGGAGCTGTTCAAGCAGCTGCTGGGAGTATTTTTGGAGTTGGTAAGTGTGTGTAGGTTGCCTTTTCATGCCGTAAACAGAAACCATCTTATCATAAAAGGAGAACTAACTTTCGTAAATCATTATCTGACCAATTTCTTTTTTTCAAAAAAATAGTATTTACTCCAAACTTTAGAAAAATGAGGAATGATACCTACTTACTTATCTAGCAAATAAATAAAATCTCATTTTGTAAGACTTTCAATATGGTGACATATTTTTTTATATAGATAGATATTTTTATATTTTTAGTGTTATCAATAAAACTTTTTAAAACTGGGTAATAACTTATCTTTAAAGCGACTTAACTATTCACGAAACTTATGGAAGTCAGGTTCTGTAGGGCATGATAACCGATCGTTTTATCGATATAAAGCTATAATATCAGCGAAAATTTTTCACTCTTTTGGTTAATGTAGAAGATGCACCTTAGCCTTAAATCAGGGTTTTCAAGCCACTAGGGCCCGCTAGATATCCCGAGGGATGCTGAAAAAATCATGGTTGACCAGCCTGATAAATCCCACTTTGTCATTATTAGGATTAGGGAGGAAATGACCAACCCCATAGCAAGTAATAACCTAGGTGCCGATTTTCACATTTCAACTCTGATTTACAGGTTCTGACATGGGAGGATCCATCCGCATACCTGCCTTTTTCAATGGAATCTTCGGACACAAACCTTCAAAATTTATGATCTCCAACGAAGGACAATATCCGATGGAGGACTCCGACCTATTGAATTCATTTTTAGGTTGGTAATTAGTAACTGCATTAAGGCTACATTGCAAATTATAAACTATACAGAATTTTGAACTTTATCCTAAAGTAACCTTTTGTTTAATAAGCAAATCTAGGAAAACTGTATTCTTTCACTATATTCATTTGAGGCACAATTACGAACAAAAACGAAAAGAAATAATTCGATATAAGCCTGGAATATTTTTAATCAAGCTTGTAAGCCAATTACAAGAGACTATATTTAAGAATCCATCTCATTTTAGCTATCAAGGTATAAAAAAACATCAAGTAAAAATTCTTCATTTCCTTCACGCAAAATTACTAACACAACTTTTTTCACAAAAATTTGGTTTTATTTATCATAGTCATAGTTATCTTCATTTAAAGTATTTCTGAATGGACTTAAATGATTTTTAGTAGTGTTAAACTCAAAAGTCTGCTGCATATATTGCGTGTTATATTTTTGCTTCATAAATAATTATACGGCTATTGGTATGCAATAATAATTATGCTGACATTTTTACTCAATAAACAAAAATTGAACGAAGAAAGAATTGTGAATAGTTAGAGTAGGTACTATTATTATTAGCTATTAACAGTTCTTACTTGTTTAAAATTCTCGTCTATTGGTTAAAAATATTTGTTTCAATTATAACAATTTCTTAAGTAATTATTTCTCTCGACAATAAATACGAGTGTAATTTCTCAAGTTATCTAGCAGTGCTATTAATAAACAAGGTTTAGCGTCAGAGTAAATTTACGCTAAAATTGCAATCTTATTATTAGTCCAAATTCATATTATACAGAGAATAAGTAAATCTACATATAGATTCTTCGGGAGTCCTATATGGAGTAAATATTACAAATAAATTATATTAAAAAAGATGTCCCTAATTAAAATTGGGAAATCCTAATCATAGTGTTAACGAGTTTAATGACGCCTTTAAGCTCTAATGATTGGCAAATTTGTATTGGTAATGTCGCTTTAAACTAATGAAAATTTTAATGAACCTTTGTGCAACTGGCTATATTAAAGGCAAAACGTGAATTTATAAAATTTTGTCATCAGAAAAAATTATAAAGCTAGCCCTAAAAATTCACTATTTTTACATTCCTTGTGATAATTAAAACTACTTTGTTACCAGACATATAATTAACAACATGAATAAGATAGTATATTATAGCAAACACACTGCGCAGAACAATTTGAAGAACGTGAAAATGACTCAAGAAAACGATAAGTATGGGTGTCAGCATGCGAGGTGTGGGGCCACCTCTGTGTGCTTTTTTCATTAAGCATTTGCCATAAACCAATGAAAATAAGCCCTAGAAATAACCAATATCTGTACTCTACCGAATAAAGAAAAAGGCCAGCTTATTCAACGAATACCTACTACGTTAGAGTCTGTTAGGACTTATTAAATTAATGTCAACCTTAAATTTTTTTTTGCAGGTACCGGTCCCATGACAAGACACGCAGTAGATTTAAAACCACTTTTGAGTATTATGGCTGGGGAAAATAGTCCAAAACTAAAATTAGATCAACCAGTTGATATTACCAAGCTCAAAATTTACTACCAGCTTAGCAATGACGCGCCTTTGACAGATCCCGTCGACCCTGACATTAAGATGGTGATGAGGAGAGTAGTAGAGTACTTAAAGTTGCAATACAGCATAAAAACAGAAGTAATTAAGATACAATTATTAAAAAAATCAATGCCTATTTGGATGGCCACAATGAAAGAAGAAACAAGGTTTCAAAGTCTTATTATGAAAAAGACGGGAGTAGGAGCCGTTTTAACGGAATTAGTTAAGAATGCTATTGGCTGTTCTGACAATACTTTGATTGGTCTTTTAACAGCTATATCAGATCGGACTAAGGCACAATTTGGGAGTGAGAAGTATAAATATTACTTAAAAGTAAGAGACCACTTAGAGAAAATATTTACTGATATGCTTGGTGAAAATGGTGTTTTCTTATATCCAACACATCCAACACCAGCACCATACCACAATGAACCATTACTAAAAGCATTTAACTTTTCTTATACTGCCATTATAAATTGTCTTGGACTGCCGATAACTACAGTGCCTTAAGGGTTGGGTCGTGAGGGACTACCAATTGGCATACAAGTTGTGTCTAACCACAACAATGATAGATTATGTTTTGCTGTAGCTGAAGAATTAGACAGAGCGTTTGGAGGCTGGGTAGAGCCACAAAAATCATAATTTTACAAATTATCTTTATCTATACTTATATAGGTATAATAAATCTGTAGAGAGGTCAATTCTGTACATGAAATATATTTCCAAAATAACTATCAAGGGGTGATTAGGAATCGATACTGATGCCAAAAATGCAATCAGTAAAATTTTTGTCTGTCTGTCTGTATAACCGTTATAGAAACAAAAACTACTCGATGGATTCTAACGAAACTTGGTACAATTATTTTTCATACTCCTGAGCTGGTTATAGTATACTTTTCATCACGCTACAATCAATAGGAGCAGAACAGTGAAGGGAAATGTTGGGAAAACGGGAGAAGTTACTCCATTTTTTAAGCTTCCGTCGCGTGTGCAACCTTAATGGTTAAAGCTACCCAGAAATCATGTATGACCGAAATGTTCTCCTTAAAATTATATTAAAAATATCCCACGACAGCATATGTCTATCTTTTATGGTTGACTTACAATAACACGTGTAACTCCCGATAGCTTAGCAATTCGAAGCTTTCTGATTGTATTTGTCTATTGTCTACTCTTACGTTTATAACACTCTCAGTCATCCCTAATTAAAAAAGTTAACAGTATTAAGTATTCCATAAAAAAGAATCATAGAAATCGGTATAGAAATATATTAGTCGAAATTGATTTTTGAGAAACACATTGGTTTAATAAGATTAGTCTTCAGGTAGCTACAAAGACGAACACATGACAAAGGCATGTCTTATAAAAAAGCAGGAACGTAGGGTTTGTTAATGTCAAGTTAATAATTTCATTTTGTTACTATTTTATCATCCTGGACCCGATATATCTATACTAATATTATAAAGCTGAAGCGTTTTTTTGTTTGTTTGAACGCGCTAATCTCAGGAACTACTGGTTCGAATTGAAAAATTCTTTTTGTGTTGAAGAGACCATTTATCGAGGAAGGCTTAAGGCTATATAACATCACGCTGCAACTATTAGGAGCGAAGAAATAATGGAAAACGCGGACGAAGTCGCTGGCGGCCACTAGTGTGAAATAAAAATGTTTGAATTAATTATCTCTATATTTCTTATAATCTTGATAAATGTTGTTGTTACAGTGAATATTTTTAATAAAATATTTTATAGAATATATTTATGGCTATTTTTGAAATGGTACATTCGACAGTAAGGAATACATAATTTCCTTATATCAATTAGGAATTACTACACACAATGATAATTAAAGTAATAATATTATTGCAAATTTCAGCAGCTCTGTTACTTAATTCAAATAAAACGAAATGTATAAAGTTTGCATTACCTAATGTAAATAGTGAAAAAGTTGAATTGGTGGAATCGACAAAGTTCCTTGGTATAACACTAGATTCCCAACTGCAATGGGATCCTCATATTGATAATTTGTCAAGTAGACTGAGTTCTGCAGCTTTTGCTGTTAAGAAAATTAAACTCTTGACAAATGTTGAAACAGCAAGATTGGTATATTTTAGTTATTTTCATAGTGTAATGATGTATAAGTATATTGTTGTGGGGTTCTGCGGCTAGCATTCAAGATATTTTTAATCTACAAAAGAGAGCTGTCCGCGCTATATATAATTTACGGTCAAGAGAATCTCTCAGAGAAATATTTAAAAAAATAAATATTTTGACTGTTACTTCTCAATACATCTATGAAAATATTATGTACGCAAGAAAACATTACGATTCCTTCACAAAAAAAGGAGTGTTCAAAATCTTAACACAAGAAATAAAAATAAACTTGCCATTCCAAGCTTCAGACTTCAGAAAACCAGAGGATCATTTCTGTGTAAATGCATTGCTATGTTCAATAAAATTTATAAATTTAAAATTCATGTAAAGAACATACTTATGAGTAAAGGCTATTATAAAGTTAATGATTATTTTAAGGATCGCTATGCATGGAATTAATAGCCTTCGCTTTGTTCTATAAAAGACTAATTATATGTTCAACCTATGTCCTCGAACTTTGAAAGTTGTATTATTATTGTGATAATACATATTATTTTGGTAATGACATGATTTATGTAAATGTCATTACTTATGATAAAGAGCTGGTAAGTTTCTTTCGCTTGTTCTTCTTGTCAGCTAAAAGACGTCCTGAACAAGTGGTAGGGAAAAAAACTTTTTTTGGACGATTCAAAGGTGCTTGTAATAGCCTACTTGAATAAAGATATTTTCGTTTCATTTCAATTTCATTTTCATTTCAAGACAATAATTTGCAAAATTTTACAATTTTCATACCATTTATAGGAACTTGTATTTATTTTTAAATGTAAAATTTACTTTCTTCAGCAGATTTGTTTTGATTATAATTTGACAATATATTAATTGTGACAATAAAACAACAGTTGTGTATAATTTTATACTGAGCACATAAGTTACATGAGGTTTATGGTGAATCAGATAAGTTATGTATTATGTTGATTATTTCTTTCCTCTTCACACTTGGATTGATTTTGTATAGCATATCGCATGACTCTATTTGTCCATATTTGTGAGCCCAATCTGCTAATCTTTCAGTGTTACAAATGACATGAATGCCACAGTCATATCCATTGCTCTGTTGCAGACATTCTTTATTCACAAAATTAATCGATGCTGTAAATATCAGAAAATGCAATTTTATTTGTTGAATTTGGTTTATATCTCACAACTTTATTTTGTCAACAAAGTAGTTTAAAAACACAAGTTTTTACCTGTTTTTGAAAAATATGAAATAAGGTGACTAGCAAACTCCCAAGCAACATTATGATTACTTCCTGATGATGAGTCTAAATGATAAAAACAACTTTCTGGCCTTGAATAAACAAGAAGACTCCAATGTGAGCCACCTGCAGTGTCTGGAGAATCATTGTCATTCAAGGCAAAGAAAACAAATTTTTTACTGTTGATATCAAGTGGTTCTAAAAATGTTTTAATTTCTTCAGTGTCCACCATTTTTATGCACTGTGTAACTCCAGGAGAAATAAATAATAATTCATTTGTATTAAGGAATATTACTTTTTCTAGATATTCAAAATAAAATGATATAATTGTATCATTCAGCCAGTATGGGCCTTCCAAAAGTTCTACATCTGACTGGTGTAATAAAATCTCATGGAAGCTCAATACAACAGATGCTTTGGCCATTCCGTCATGTACCAAATAATATTGCTTCTTGCATAAGTTCTAAGTGATGATCTGATAAGAAAAACAATAAAATATGTAATCTTGGATAAAAATTGCCTTAAGCAAAACAAAAAAAAACAATATTGATAGGAGTAATTTGAAATGTCAAGTTTTAGAGGTTGGGTCTCTAATATTTTTTTAGAAATCCCTAAATAATTAATTATGGTAAACTACACAACAAGATTAGCCAATAAGTATCTCCTTTTAAAATGTGTAATGCTTGATGACATGTAGATCGACATGTAAATACTAAAACTTACCAAAACAGATCAACTGGTTTCATAACAAGCTTTTTCAAGCAGTTAAAAAGGTATTAGCCTGTCTTCTCGGTTTATGGGTAAAAGCAGTTACAGTGAATATGTAGCACAATAACTCGTTTTAATAGATTACATTTATTTTTGGAAGTGTTATTACAGTACCCATTTCACTTCAACATCGCGAATCACGATCACGGTCAGTAACACTCAAAAAGAATTTAGACACTAACCACAGACGTTTTTTTTTTTATTTGTCTTGCACTGTTTGTGCTTAGCCTTGTCAAAGTTTGGGAAACGGAAACGAAAGGAAATAGAAGTTGGAACGGATTTTTTATGGGATAGGTTCAGAAGGCTTAGGAATTAGGAGAAGGAAGATATATTTACATAATGTTATAATACATATATAGAATACAGAATAGGTTGGAGTTAAATATTACTTAAAATTATATATGATACTCATCATCATCATCATCAGCCGGAAGACGTCCACTGCTGAACATAGGCGTCCCCCTAGTCACCTTATTTCATATTTTTCAAAAACAGGTAAAAACTTGTGTTTTTAAACTACTTTGTTGACAAAATAAAGTTGTGAGATATAAACCAAATTCAACAAATAAAATTGCATTTTCTAATATTTACAGCATCTATTAATTTTGTGAATAAAGAATGTCTGCAACAGAGCAATGGATATGACTGTGGCATTCATGTCATTTGTAACACTGAAAGATTAGCAGATTGGGCTCACAAATATGGACAAATAAAGTCATGCGATATGCTATATTTGATACTATGTAATTATAAATGGATAGGTTATTTGTGGATAGTAAGGAAACGATTGATGTCAGGAAAGGTACACGAAGGGACAATAGGTCATTAAGGAAGACCGTGCGATCGTAGTGTATACAAGCAAAAAAGATATGGTTTAGATCTCCAGTATCCATCCCACACTCGCAGGTTGCATCACTAATGATTCCAAGTTTGGCTAAATGTGCCGGAGAACAAACATGTTCAAGACGCATACGTGAAAGAGTAGAACCACAGACTTAGTAGGTATTAGAGTTGTTCAAAACGACTAAAATACATTAACACGCTGAAGACTAAATGTTAAGAAAAATTAGCGTGTTAATTAATCCGTTATTAATTAACGCATTAATTAACACGCTACAACAAGTACATAATAAAAACGGTGCACGACAAATGCATTAATTCAAGCCGTACACTAAATCTCGTAGCATGTTATTTATTACATGTCTTTGAACCAAGCGCGTGCTATAATAAACCATTATTTATTAATATTTGAATCTCATAATATATGAAACAAAAGTAAATGAACTATGTACAATTGTTTTCTTCACGTAATACAATTAATACAATACAACGTACTTCACTAAAATTTGTCCTTAAATTTATTAGCATTATCACTTTTATTATAAACACGTACGTATCATTATTCATCATGTCAAAATAATATGCATAAATTTATTACTGAACATATTTTTATTTTACCCACACAATCGCTCTTAATTAAAACAATTAAAAATATTAACTAACTAAACTATGGTAATAATACATGAACATATTAAACAGGCTACGAGAATAAATCGTTAACGCGTCCATTATTCGCACCTTCACGTTAATCCAAAATCGGCTTCGCACGCGATGTTATTAAACGTACTGCGAGAATAAATGGTTCACGCGTCCACGCTAATGGACGCGCCCACGCGAATAATGCCCGCTCGACCTCGGATGCTAATAATCGCAGCGCGTTAAAACGCTAAAGTTTTAACGCTTTAACATGTGTATACTTAACAGCGTTAAGCGTTAAGTACGATTAGCGTGTTAAATTAAATTTCCTCAATTGATTCTGAACTCTACTTATAATTTATTAAGTTTGACAATCAAGTAGAGAAATTTGACAGTTTTGTAAGCCCGACTTACTGTTGACTGTACATGGAAGCAAACGAGATCAGCAGTTGTCAGTAGGGATACGTAAAAGTATTTAGGGTATTGATTTATGAGGGAATAATTCATATTAGAATATTCTGCGTTCACGCATTTCTGATTTAATGCGAAAAAACCACAGAAATATATCTAGTTAGAAGGAAAAAGTGTACGTACTTCGCGTGCCGAAACGACGTCTAGACAGCTTCATTGCTCGCCGCGAGGCTCAGTTAGGGTTCGAAGTATCGGGTTCTGGTATCGATACCGAGTTCTCATGTGGTATCGAGGGTCATGGTATCGATACCATAAAAGTATCACTCCCAAAGTATCGATACTACTCAGTATCGAGTATTTATCGACATCATTAAAGAAGGCTAATCCTAAAAAAAAACAATCTACCAGACGGACAGACAAACAAAAATTTGTAAAATGTGTATGAAAAATTGTTACAAAATATTTGTTTTTGGGAAACGTAAGAAAATTAAAAAAAATGTCTATAACGAAAATATAGTATATAGTACTTCCATACATTTATACAATTCAGTCATACATTATTTTTATGGCAGCCAAAAGGGTAAAAGTATAAAAATAAAAACCAAAGAGTAAAAGTATAAGATTTAAGTTGAAACGTCAAATGCAAACGCCTATAGTATATATTCTTTAGCAAGAATACTTGATACCAGCAATTTTGATGAGTACTTGCGAGTATTTACCTTTTTGTAGTATCGAGTACTTAGTATCGAGTTTCGCTTTTGAAAGTATCGATACCTACTCGGTATCGAAAGTATCGTTCGAACCCTAGGCTCAGTCCACTTTCGATCGCAATCGGTGTCGGACGAAATATAAAATGATGCGTTGTTCGATAATTACCTGCTCAAACACCACCAATATGGTTGGATCTTATAGTCGAGGTATTTCCTTCCATCGGTAAGTAACTATTTGCCTTGATATATCTATTTTGAATTAAAAATAATTAGTTTTGTTGCTCCGTATTATTTTTATCAAAACGGTCGTGTCCAGTAATAGCTTTCCATTGCGGCTTTAATTTGACAGTCCAAATTTGCTGTGCTTGTAAAACCATCGATGTATAATTCAAGGTCAATTTGTTGGAGGACAAATTATCATTTTTTCTGTCAAAAATGGAGAATAGTGCTGTACAATGCGATTTTTTTACCCGATTAAAAAAATATCGTTTTTGAAAGCAGAAGAAAGGATAATTAATTTTATATTGAACTAGCTGACCCGACAGACTTCGTCCTGTCAAAAAGATTTGTAATGTGGCAGTTTTTTTGCCTACGTATTTAAAAAAATTCTGATGCATTTTGTCTCGCGTGCCGAAACTAATACAAAAGAAACGCGAGTTTCGGAACGCGACATTAAACTCCTCCAACTATGTATTCTGTGCCCCAAAGCACACACGCACATTGTTTTGATAGATATGATCTTTGACGTTAGGAACACACCTACATTGCTTAGACAACAGTGAGTGCTTGTAATTTAATATGAACTTTATACCATAGCAATAAAGCTCAAATTGACTACGTTTTAGTTACAAATCATTTGTATGGGAAAAAGAAAAGGGCTATTTTTAGGGTTTTTCCAGCAATAATTCTAAAATTTTTCGCCGTAAAAACCATCCTTGAACTTCAACGAACATTTTAAAAAAAGATTTGGCCAAATTGGTCGAGGTGTTGTTGAGTTATGCGCTTACCAACACATTTTGCGATTCATTTTATATTATAGAATTATACTGTAATTTTTGTTTTAGTTTTCCGTATGATCCTAATATTAAAAATAAATGGATTGAAGCAACAGGACTCTAAGGCAAATAGTAGGTATACTTACTGGACATGGAAACTTTAACAAACACCTATATAACATGGGTTATTTTGACAGTCCTCTGAGCAGGGCGTGCATGGAGACTGAGGAGATTGTCTCCTCAGTCTCCATTCCAGTATCACATAAGCGCTTGTGCACTCATGTGATACTGGAATGCAGGAGCCTATTAAGACAAAAGGACTACATATCTATGAAGCCCAAGGATACTAGTGGAAGCATGCGGCAGAGTTCGAGATCTTACGGGCTTCCTGGAGGAGCTGGGGTGGCAGGACTAAAGCAACCCCGTGTCATGCAAAATAGGCACTGAGTATCGAGTTGCAGAAAAGCCCGCCGTGAAACATAACATAACAACACAGGACGTAAAAATGTGTGGCGTGTCGAGAGGGGGTAGCGGCTACTACAAAGTGTTTGCCCACAGAAAAATGCCGATTTCTATTCTATCGCATAAAATCTTTTTTGCGCCGATTCACTAAATTACATTCGTGAGTTCGTGACATATACATAATATTTAAGCAAAATGGTAGTCTGTCTATAAAGTCATGAAAAAAATTGAGGGCGCTGCGATCGTGCACGTAGCAACCCTGTGTAGTGAGACAAATTATTTTGATAGAAGGATTTTTTTTTTTCTTGTATTACCCCAGAAAAGGTAAAGAAAGGCGTATAATTCGTAGACAATGAGTTTATTCTACATTGAAGATAACAATATAGTAATCGTAATTTTTGATAAATCTTTTTTTCTTATAATTGCCAAGTTGTTTTCTCGTTTTACTGCAATGTGTGCTTGTGTTCGATTAAAGCCTGTTACTTTGACACTCCTTGTAAGAAAACCCAATATATTTCAGAATTTAACGCAGAACTTCTACGGTTCAATTAAAATCCAGATCGGTTTTGGCAATCCACTGATGTTTTCTTCATGTAGGTACCTCTTTTTTCACAGAGTAAAAGAACTGAATCTTTTGTCGAAGTGCACAAATGTTGCAGTTATTACATTTATTTCTTAGGACGACTATCTATGTTTCCCAGGTGTTTCAAATATGCCACCATTTTTATAACCTTCATCTACAATACGTATCACTATATTCTCTGATTTTCCTGAAAGTAAGTTTTAAAAATGTAATACCTATAGGTATTTGGCAAAAAGAATGGAATCGCCACAATGATCAAATTAATGCTATAATTTTAGTAATATAAAGCACAAACTTTTTATTGGCGTACGTAGGTAAAAATCGTACATTCCTAACAGGTATATTTTTTATTCAGATTAAAATCAATGATAAATTTGATTATCCAAAAGCATTGAAAGTTCGGGCCGCACTACAATATAGCCTTCTAACATTTTCAATCTAACCTATAAATGCATAATGTAATCAATACTTCTTTTAGACTTAAATTCATATATTTAGTAAATTTGAAACTTCTGGTAACCAAAACTCAATCAGTAACACGATTACATACCAGCCAGCTTCTTGTTCCAATAAACATCACTAAAAAACTTTATAAATAATATCCTGAGCTTCACTCTGATTAATTCTCTTCATTTTTAACACTTTTCGACGGAGTTTAGAAGAAGTAGCTTCAGTTTAATCAAAACAAATCAAAAATGCAGAAAATCGAGCTAAAAAATCAAGTTGTTGACAGTCGATGTACTTTGATTCAGTGTTGTCATACTTGTGTCTAATATTAGTTCCTCAAACATTCTTTTCATGACTTTATAGACAGACTCTACACGTTGGTCTCCGTCGATCGATATCGTTTTTTCAATCGATAAGAATCGGTATGCCGTTTCAAATACAACATGTATTCGATGCAAGTGAAATTATGTCTTCCATCACTAAATTAAGATCGTGACGTCATGATACCTACACAAAATGTGGCACGCTCGGTCTCCATATAAATCGACGAACATTTTCCTTCTAACTAGATTTATTTCTGTGGAAAAAACACTCGTGATGTCACTGTGCTAATTTATACAGTTTGCAATTTATACAGTTTAGTGTTTGGTTTTCGTATTAAAATATCTATGTATATTTGTTCACGACATTCATGGCACACGCAAATTGATGTTATTTGATTAATTTCAACTTAGTATCATTAAAATATGTTCAGTAGTTTTGAAGATATAAATAAACTATTAAAATTTAACTGACTTTATAAAGAGAAGCAATTTTTTTGCTGATATTACAATAGTAATATTATTTTGTTTCGTAAACAAATAGTAAAGTAGTAATCAACTTTCGCAAGGGTCGGTCACGGGATGAGTGTCCAAAAAATTATTATCTCGAGCTACTCCGTGCTTCGAAAGGCACGTTAAGCTGTTGGTCACGGCTGCATTTGCAGTCGTTAATACCCTTCAATCCGCATTGGGTCAGCGTGGAGGGTCATGGCCTATCCTCCTTAACCATCCATAAGGAAGGCCCGAGCCCCTGCAGTGGGGATGTAAAAGGGCTAGTAATGATGATGATGATGAAACAAATAAAAAAACATATATAATTTATATTATAACAAATAGCCTATAAAATTGAAAATAGGAAAACTCAAAAAAGCTTGAATCAGTTACTATGTGCACCTCGAAAACTGACCAAAATTACATAAAAATTAAACCAGCACTGTAAAGTGCCTTTATTAAATAAATCTGGTTAACTGTTTATTATATGTCTTTAATTGAGTTTTTCCATAATCACTTATTCTTATCAAAGCTATCCTCCATTTTATATGTCTTCCCAGACCATAGTGGTCTCCTCCTCTATGTTAACACAGACTATCACCTTACAACCACCATTCATCGAAGCATTTCATAACGAATTCTGATCCATTTCGCGTCAAAACCAAAAGTACAGGAGCACTGTTTCACACTTGCACTCTATACCGATGATACATGAATGATACATGAGAATGGGACTCTGCATCCAAGCCAAAAATATTACAAAAAGAAAACATGAGAATGAATTGCTAAATAAACATACTTCACCAATGTTGCAAGTTAAAAATGAGTTACGCGTGTGTTGAAAGCGGAAATATTCATGATGAGCATCCCTATATAGTTTGACCGTGCTTCCCTAGAGGCACAAGTGTCTGTAAAAGCTTTAAAATTGACTTTACTTTTGTAAGACGTTTTTTCTTTTTTAAAGGTCTAAATAATCATACTTTTATAAGGTAATTACTAGTTAAAAACTATTTTTTAGTATTGATAATTTTAAAATCTTCGATACTGATACCGAGTAAAGCATCGACACCAAGTACAAGTATGCCAAAATACTTATTCCGTTAACCTATTTCATGAGTATTTAGAAGTATACCTTTTTAATTACTTTTCTATCTTTTGAATATGTGTGTAAACGATTAATAAGCAAACATAAATTAGCAAATATTACTAGTGAGAAATTTATTTAGGCTACGGAATGTCAGCTGTAGAATACGCATCATTAAATAATAAAGATTAAATTTTGGTAGAAAATCGTAAAATAATTTAATAGTGATAAAAACTGACACGCTTAAAATTTATTCAAATACTTATTTAATCAAAATATTCACAATGCATACAAAAGCAGTTTTGACTCGTGGTTGGGTGATCTAAAGAACACACTTGCACACACACAAGCCACATTTGACAACTTTCAATTTCAACTTGATAGTGAAGTATCCTGCTTAAAAGCTTCGATTAATATAGTTTTACATTATAGTTTTCAAAGAAATATGAATCGAATGCAGTTATTGAGAAAAATGTACCAATTTTATTATTATAACCAATATAGTAGTTCACTAGATTGGCTGTTAAATTATGTCTCATTTTAACATTCTAAGAAGTTATAAGAATAACAGATTGAGTTGCGTAATGCTTAGATTAAAAATTAGTTACTGTAAAAACTTGAGTGAACATAAAAATAAAGACATTGACAGAATATCGAATTGCGCGAAAAAAACTATTAACTAATTATTCACAAACTATATATCACGATTATTTAATTTCATCGGCTACAAAGTGCCTTACGCATTTATAATGGTTGTTTTGTTCCGTAGAGAAAATTCTATAAATTTGCGTTTTGGATGTAACAGACTCTGCACAATTATGATATTAGTATAGCAATACTAATTACACCTACTTTGGACGTTATTAAACAAAATCATATAAAGGGTTTTTTTCATTTTTAGTCTTTATTTAGAAGAAATAGGCGCCGAGCGTAAGCGCTCATTTCATATGTCAGCCTCAGCTGAAAGTAACCTTTATTGTATACCCCAGCTTAGATGTAACCAGGAACTTTGAAAATCAATTCAATTTCAGAAAGCATTGGAAATTAGTTTTTTAAGATTTCAATGGTGCAAGTGGCTAACGCATGGTGAGAGTGCAAACTTAAAAACCTCGGTCTTTTTCTCCCTTCTGAAACTACAAGAAGCCGTCAACCTGGCTGCATTCCGTTATTTCTAAATATTTCTATATTCAATTAATTTTCACAGTTCTATATTCATAAAGGTCTAAATATTTTGTAAACAATTTTTGTTTGTAATTTTAATACCATTTATTAATATTTTAGTGATTAGATACAATTCGAATATGGTTATTTGTTCATGCCTTCATAAGTAGTTATGAAATCAATTTACGAGGAAGCCAAGCAATTAATTCGATTGTTTTAGTGCTTCCCTAGTGTTTAAAAATACAACGGGCCAACAGACTTAACTTTTTATTGGAGTTTATTATATTTAAATTATTTATTTATTACACTTAGAAAGATTTTTAAATGAAATCAAAACGTATTGTTGTTTTATTTCTATATTATTACCATAATAATATTTATTTTAATTTTGAAAAAAAAAATGTAGGCGCATTACAAGGTTACTTTGAAGTTGATAGTGTTAAATGTCAAATGTGCCTATTAAAATAAGTAAGGTATTTTTCATTTATACATTCACATCAAAGCGCGTAAACCTCAGTTAGGTTCTGGAACTTCAAAAACTAGACAAACTTGATACATATTGGACACCGTTTGGTTGGGTCTGGAACGATTCATAGATAACAGTTCCATGTTGTCATTTAGAAAAACCTGTTATTTTTTCGTTTCGATTTAGTATGGTTAAAATATATATGTTCACTCTACTCTCCGGCAGTCAGTCAGTCGTCTGATCGCTGTGACAGCAACGGGGTCGAGTAGTAGGTGTGAGAAAGACAAGAAAATCGGATTATTCGCGCATTGGACGCCCGTCATTCTAAATTTTGGTATATCTTTGTACATACTATAAAAGTAAGTATTCTTTAATTTTGTCTAATTATATATCAATAAAATAATTATTAAATATATTTCCATGTAACATGTAATCCTAACCTTGCACTCCCACCATTTAATGGGTAACCTTTATACTTTGGCGGCCCTTTTATCAAACTTTTTAAATAAAGCTCATTCAAACACATTTTTTGATTTTAAAATCAAAATAGCTATAATGACGGAATTTTTGCTCTTCTGGTGTAATCCTTAACTTGATTTTGCACTTACGTAATACTGTCATTACGACACGTTTTGTGCATTGATATTCCCAGTTGACATTGATCTTGACCTAATTTTATACTTATCTTTTTAGAATTAAATTTATTGTTAGAATTGAAATAGTTTTTTTACAATAGTTTATTGGAATTGCACCATTTTAATTTAATTTTATCAGAATCGGCTTACAAGGTGTGTTAGCATTATCGACCTTTGTATGAACATTTCTATAGCTAATTATTATCAGTAGTTTAAATTGTTAAGAATGCATACAATGAAAATGTTCTCAATCAGTACCCAGCACAAAAGTAGAAACAATATTTTATTATTATTTGACAAGTTCATTGAAACATTTCATTTATATTTTATAGCACAACAATGGGTATCCCTGCTGGTAATGCTGAGAATGGAAAGAAGATCTTTGTGCAGAGATGTGCCCAATGTCACACTGTAAGTTTTTTTGAAGTTATTTAAAAGATCCTTTAGTCATGGTGTACATTATATATTTTTATGATACTTAGTAATAATTAATGCATTTGAATTACTACCTACCTACCTATAAATAGTCAATAGCACACTTTAATTCTGCAAAAGGCCAAATTCCTCTCAATGATTTTGAAGGCTTAATCTGATGATAGTACCTATTGTTAAAAATTAATTGAATAAATTTGGTCTTTTACTATAATCAGATATGCGGTTCTGTGTACACATTATGCTATGAAATGTAAAAAACTCTAAATAAATGTGGGATTTGCCCAAATTCAGTTCAAGTCAGATTCAGTTATAATGTTTTCTGTGACAGGTTGAATCTGGTGGCAAACACAAAGTTGGGCCTAACCTACACGGCTTCTTCGGTCGTAAGACTGGCCAGGCAGCTGGTTTTGCATATTCTGATGCCAACAAAGCTAAAGGTAATTTATTTTTGTTTATTACCTACTTCAGTTGATAGTTACGTTTTACAATATTTGTCTAATCTATTAACTTATTTAGATAAAATTTTGTATAATATCTGATTTTGTATTATAGTTATAAACTTCATTTTTAAAATATGCACCACCATTTTATTAGTTAATGTTTCTGATAATTTATTGGGTGACAATTATGTGAATTACTCATGTTAGTAATCAGTCTTGCCATTTATACTAATTAAATCATAATGAGTTTTAATCTATAATTCACAAATATTACAACTTAATAATAGTTCATTTCATGAGCTATTACATTACCTTGATCACTACAGACATGATCATGAACATAATGTTACATCATTATGAGTATAATTATTCTTTTGAAACTTTGTATAGCATTTAACTATACTTTTATTTATATTTGATTACATTTATTTTTAATTGATTCATTAAAATAGAAAGATTTCATCTCAAGGTAATAATTTCTTTTTGTATTGATGTTCTACTATCATTAAGATCCTCATTATTTTGCTATAGTAGATTCGATTAACTAGACTGATTGCTCTTGCAAGTCCTTTTATAATGTGATAGGGGAAAAAATATTTTTGGACGATTTAAAAGTGCTTGTAACAAGCTTACTTGAATAAAACATTTTCATTTCATTTCATTTCAATGAACATTTATGATTAAATTAATATATCCACATTATACAATAATGTCTTTATTGAGATTTGAATACACAATGATATTGTTATAATATACAATCATATATTCATTCAATTATTTGTTTTCTAATGTTTGGTTGTAATTGGATATAACATAGAAAACACACACAAAGAAAATACTACTTCTATTCTGATTTTCAGATTTAACTGAGTCTCTGTGATGAAATTTTTTGTTTATAAGTTGTTTATTTTATACTGTAATTTTTTAAAATATTTTACCTTATATTTTCTTGTTTAGGCATTACATGGAATGAGGATACTCTGTTTGAGTACCTCGAGAACCCCAAGAAATACATCCCCGGAACCAAGATGGTGTTCGCTGGCTTGAAGAAGGCCAATGAGCGTGCAGATCTTATTGCATACTTAAAAGAAGCTACTAAGTAATATCAATTTAGAAATGTATTTAAACAAGTAGAAAGCATCTTCCATAATATTTCTGGGAAATACTTTCTATTTTAGCCCAATCAGTATCACGAAGAGTGCGTATTGTAATCACAAAATTGCAATAAGCATAGTAAATTAATCAAATCCATGTCATTAAATTTAGTACCGTGAGTACTAGTATTGTGCGCGATGGATGTTATTTTGCCTAGTTTTACAATGTTGGTGAAATTAATGTAATTAAATTATTGATAGATTACGCACATAGCTTTTCATTTGTAATTTTATCTCCATATCTAATTTATTTAATACCATGATGTTCTGACAATGTTACCAATTAAGTGTAGAAATTACCTTACTATATTTAAAATTATAATAAAGAATGTTGAGTTCTTTAAATTATTTTTTTTGTACACTCTAATTACTGTTTTGTCTACCTTTACTATTAACAGACTTGGATGTATACTCGATATATGAACAGTATCAAAGCACTCTTTTATCTTATCGCTAAAATTGATTGATCAGTGACGAGTTTTTTATGTAATGTAATAGATACCATTGGCCTCTATTCGTGTGGTTTTGACTTACAGGTATAGTACAGTAAAATATACGAGATAAGATATCAGGATTTATCTTGGGTTTATCAATTAAAGCGCTTACATACAACGCTGACGTAAATACGCCATGTGTAGTAGCAGCAGCGTCCCGTGTCGCAGAGACGTCGTACTATTCTACAAACTTCCACTGTGTTTCATATGTCGTGGGGCAATCGTAAAATTGGGCCGATCGAGTTATGCCGCCATTTCTTGATTTGGCGATATATCATACGCCTTATCGTTCAATGCTTAACGTTTGACGATATATCCGACTACACTCGGGCCAATCGATTTTGTAAGCATTATATAAGCATAGATGGACAACAACCCGAGTTTTCTCCTACCGCCTATCTCTGTATGTAGTAAGTAATATGAAGTTTAAATAATAATTATTTGACGGGTATATAAAATATTTTTTACTATGTTTATGCCTACGCGTAGTACTTTTATAATTATTTTTGACCAGTCATGTAAAATTTCGACAAATGAAAGTTTCCTTTAAATGAAACTGATAGCAATGATTTGGCTAATCCTTAAATGAAATTAGTCTTATGTCGATCCTTCACAAATCCAGTTCAAATAAACCACTATAAAATACCCAGGTAAATATTTCAACACGAATCCGTCCGAAATGTCCGTGCATTTATTGAATAGGTAGGTATTTCCTATTTCTATTTTAATTGGTAAGTAGTTCTTATTTATTATATCTAAGATGTTTCTCACGAACGTCCTGAAATATTTATTTGATAATTTAATCGTTTGTACGTTTTAAAATATACAGAATTATCCATCTGCAGAAACTGATTAGCAAGCTTGGCCGCCCAAGGCCATGTTAGTAGTATTAGGCGCTCCTTTTAGCTCTCATAATTTAGGACTTTTATGACAAAATTTATTGAATGAATTTATTTTAATAATTTTTTGCTATTTCAATAATAATTTTTGAAAGTAAATAATGTGATGATATAATTTCTTAATGGTAACTTGCAATAAGAATATATTGCATCTGATTTAATAAACATCTGATAATTCCTAACAGTCGTTATTCAATGAAAATGTAGTTGATTGATCCCATTTTCATCTCAATTCAATATATCTGTAATAATTTAAAAGTTTCTCTTCGATAAACACGTCAAGATAGTTTAGTAAATACCCAGTATTTCATACTATTATTGGCCTCCCTAGACCCGGGCCTACTATAGCCTTTGGGTAAATCCGCCACTAAGTATCTGCGTGAATTACCATGGTATTACCCAGCAGGGAGCCTTCGCGTTACATCTATTAATAGCAAAAGCTATTTTTATTCTTTCTTGTTATGTTAGTAGCTCCGTATTCCAAACTACTCTACGAAGTTGTAATGGAAAAACTTTTATAGTGCCCATCCAAAGATTGTATTTTATTCGAAGAAGGCGCTACTTACGGTCTTATTATTTTAGAATTTAATTTTATATATATACTTTTTGTTAGAAATGTCCTCTAGTAAACATTCTGCAAAATTTGTTGTTTGTTACCACGATACATTTAAAAAGCGCAGTGGTATTTGTATTATAATGTTTAGTCTAGATGGCAGCACATGTTTCGCAACAAGTGATTGAATTTTACCTTTATTATGTATTGAATATGTTTTTCTGTGAATAGAACATTTGAGCTTTAAAGATTATTAGTATAGACCATAACTCTTGTTAACTATTAATTAAAATCAAATAAAAGCAATTTTTTTCAAATAAAAGCAATTAATTAAAATAAAAGCATTAAACAATAATAACAATAATAAAACAACACATAGATTAAGGCTGAGTGCTAAGACAGGGCTAAGACAAAAGACTATCTATCTATTGCACCCAAGATTTTTTTGCATCAATTACCACTATGATTACCTGTTGTAAGCATTGCATGTATTCCTCGGCTATAAATTGATTCACTTAATAATATTGTTTTATAAATAAAATAGTAATAAGTAGGTATAATTACGGGAGTCATCGAAGTCGACAAAAATGTTTTTTTTTGTAAAGAAAATAAATTCACTTATTGACTGTAATAACAACCTAAAAGTATGTTGTAATGATTGTTTAATTTTTATTACTGCTAGTTTACACAAAAAATATATAAACAATAATCCAACTTGTTGTGTACCTACCTATGCACCGTTTTAAGTAGGCATCATCGGTACTAATTATAAACAAGGTTTAGCGTCAGAGTAATTTACGCTAAAATTGCAATTTTATTATTAGTTTAAATTCTTATTATACAGAAAATTAGCAAACCTAATATCTTATAGGAGTTAATTTTACTACTGTAGTACCTCGTACTAGGTTAATCTTTGCTAAGAGTCTGTTTAATAATATTAATATTGACTAATACTTAGTGCAGTCTCAGCGTAAATTTACTCCAACGCTAAAACTTGTTTATTAATAACACTGCATAAGTTTAACATATAGGTACACGAAACTTGACTTTGTTAATTTAATTAATAAAAATCTACATTCAATAAACTAAGGTGGGGCAAACATTAGACGGTCATTATTAGTATCCCGATATTGTCTTTCTAGGACGGCAGATTGATGCTTGATGAGGGTTCCCAGAAATTGATTCGTTATGTATAAACCTACAAAACAACCAATCTACCCGGAGGCCCTAAACTAAGTTTAAAATCTTGTTTCCCCTTCCATACCCAAGTTCCTTGACATGTTATTATTTTAGTTTATAAGATCTTAGTACTAAACATGTAGGTGTAGGTTTACTTGGGTGTAAGCTCAAAGCAATAAATAAAATTCATTTGAATATCGAGTCTATTAGATAGAATATACCTAAGTATATTAGATAGTTTCTAAAATTAATCTATTTTCCATACTATATAACTTTAATAAAAACGTAACTGATCAACGTCTATACATTAAAGATATATGAAAAAAATAAACTATTATTAGGAGCATTTATAAACGTAATAAAACATAATGATTTTTAAGATTTTTGTATGTTGATCTGTGCGTTTGTGCACGATAATCTCCGAAACCACTGAACCGATTTAAATACAATTATCACTATTATATTTTGGTAATCTTCCGTTAATATTTAGTGTAAGATTTATTTCCATTGGTTCACAAATAAAAAAGTTATATCAATTTGAAGTATTGTGTTCCACAAAATTGCTATGCTAATTTAATTGCTAATTTTAGTATTGTATGTAATGATTATCATTAATAACTCCTTCAATTCCCACTGCAAGGGCCCAGGCCTTTATTTAATAATTTTTGATCATCCATCCCTTGACCAACTCTTTCGAAAATTGCTTAGCAACACCGATTGCGGGCAGCGATGCTTATCCGTTGCGCCACCGAGTAATTTATTGATATTCTCTGTAAAATGATATTTTTTATGATGATAAATAAAAAAATAAGTTTACAAGATTTTGTGTACCTCAATGTAACTTGACCTCAATTATATATTATATAGGGTTCAACTTATAATGGATTAGGGGTATACGATCACGCGAGTAGGGGATCAAGCGGAAAGAGCATTCCGCTGCTGCAATTAAATATTGAGTGTGTGAGTAAATATCGACAGTGAAGGTTTTTGATATAAATTTTTCTCAGGTCAGGTTCACGTCGTCGGGGCCAGCGGAGGTGGTTGGTAGCCACCCCCACATTGCGTGGTCTCACTTGTCTGGGAGAGGCTCTCGATGTACCCGAGACTCTCCATCTGCGATGGGACCAATGGTCCAATACTTGAGTGACCAGGGGTGCGACCGCCTAACTCATGGACGCAGCTGTAGTCATAGCTATAACCTACGCTTTATAGGTTTTAAAATTAATGATTTTATTATAAATTACATATTTAATCAATGCTTTTAGTTGTTTTTGTTTGCTGAATTATTAAAGTTAAACGAAATTTACAAAATTTAGAATCGATATAAACACTGTGGCGTATAAAGGCTGGCATAGAGTTAACGAGATCCTTTTTGCCAAGCGTCGGGTGAGCGTGCAGGTGACTGCGCTGCGGAAGGTTGACATGTGGCGCGCAGCTGTTGACACGCACTTGTTGCGTTGCTTTCTCCTTTGTTTCATACGGACAGTGACGTTGAAACAGTTCTTTTAAGAGCTCCTTATTTCATTGGCGGATATACAAATAAATTTTCCATTAACTGATGTAGCCTTATTACTGTCTTACTGGTGGTGTAGCCACAGTATTCCCCTTCAAGTGAAACGTACCGGCAGCTTGACGACACGGCCAGATCTGGTTCGCTTCTGAGCTGGCTGTGACGTCACGTCGTTGTTTCTTACACTTGAGTCTGGTAACGGCATTGATGGTAATGTTGTGGTGGTATTCGTGCTTTGATATGGTAAACTTATAAAGGTATGATTATGGTAACTGGTAAATTCAGGCGTATGTTGGTAATCTGTATCTGATGCATAACTCTCCTCTATGATGTATGCAGGCTTCAATCGGTCGATGGAGATAGCTGCTTGACGATTTGGTAACTGGATCGTAAACACTTTATCTGTGCGCTCCACGACTCGATAAGGACCTTCATATGGTTGTTGAAGTGGTTTTTTTACTGCGTCGACTCTGACAAACACGTGCGTGCATTTTTTTAGATCTTGGTGCACGAACGTCTGTTTGTTACTATTGTGATGCGTTGTGAAACGTGGCTTGTTATTGTTTATGTAT